ATTTACATATACAAGCAGGGTATGCTCCTTAATTTCAAAAAAAAATACATTTACATATAGCCATGTTCACTGCAGGACTGACTTTTCAAAACAAAAGCAGGACATGATAGGAAATGACATGGAATTGGCAAAGTGTGGAATTTGAGACAGTCGGAAAAATATGTTTGGGGACATTTTTTGTTAACATAGAAAAATGCCCCTTACAAACAGTACAGAAAACTGGGGGTGAGGGAGGAAATCCAAGCGGTACAGACAACGCAGCGTGAGGCCAATTCTGTAAACATACAGGCGCGTCCTCCAGCCCAGGGAGGGCGCCAATGTTAACGGGGTGCCCACTCGGGCTTAGGACTAGCAATGATGTCCGCTGTATCCTTTGTGCCTCATCTTTTCTGTATTTCCTGTTTTTCACAGTAAACATCCATTACATTCATGATCGAAAAGGAGAAGTTTAGCCCTGGCTGGTGTGGCTCGGTTGAGCATCATCTTGTGCACCAAGAGGTTGTGGATTTGAGTCCCAGTCAGGGCACATGCCGGGGCTGCGGACTCAACCCCCAGGAGGGGGTGTTTCTCTCTCTCTCTCCCTCTTCCTTCCTCTCTTTCTAAAAAATAATTAAAAAAAAAAATAAGGAAAAGTTCATATGTAAGCATTTTAAGGAAGTTTGTCATTGGAAGAATTCCCTGAAGAAATCATTGTGTAAAACAGATAAACAACACCTAATTCATATGTTTTCCTTAGGATCCTTTGTGTTTCAGAACTCCAGGTTTTCACACACAGAAGCAAGCAGCACGCGCTATGCCTCTGGGAACGCTCGGGCACCTGGCGGGGGGCTCCGTACACGGGCCGACAATAAGGTTGGTTCAAGGAGGTCACGTCGCGGCTGCTTCCTTCCAAAAGGGCCTCGGAGTCTGAATGGCACCTCTATGTGCAGTGGGCATTCAAGCGTGTTGAGCCAAACGAGGACACGGGGAAATGCGAGGAGCACAGAAAAGGGTCTCGGTGCCGGGATCACAGCTCCGGAGAACAGATGCTCGCGACAGACGCGGGCAGGAAGGGGTCGCTGACATGAAAACAGAGCATCGGTGGGGAGTTATGAATCATTGTTTTATTTTGCTTAATTTCTCTAGCTGTAAATTTTTTAAAACTAATATGAGCATATTTTACAGCTCACAGAACATTTAGAACATATTAAAATAAGTATCTTTCCACTGTAATGTGCCCAATTGAAATTTATGAATTCCAAAGCTACATTTTAAGGAGATGAAGGAACTGGCACTCCACGTTCTTTAGATTAATCAGATGGATTGTGTTGTTTTTCTCCTGATCAGAAAAAAAAAAAATCGTATCTCAGTAGCTGTTACCTTGAATCAAGGATTCTTCCAGATTCTAGAAGCTTACAGAGCTGCTTATATTAAGTCCCACTGTGCCCCCTGGTGGAAAGTGGGGTTTGTGCACTTAAAACACAGTCCTTCCCCAAAGGCTGGAAATAAAATCCCAAACAATTTTTTTAATCTTTACTAATCCACTTAACATGTACAAAACTTTGTGCCAGGTGCCACAGAGAATATAAAAATGAGTCTGGCACAGATCCCATGCTCAAGTAGCTTAAAATCTACACAATGTAGCAGATACGGTTCCATGGCTACACAGGCAGAATGAGACCACCGCATGCTGAGGAAGAGAAAATTCCTGGAGAAAGCAAGAACAAGAGCACACAGGAAGTGCCTACTATGTGTCAGACACCACGCTAGGCAATTCATATCCAGTGTCATTTGTTTTTCATGAAAACCCAGAAAGGCATGTGTAATTAGCTCCACTTTACATACACGGTGGAAGCTCAGAGAAGTTAAGTAACTTGCCAGAGATCACACAGCCAGTGGCAGAGGGAGCATCCAAAGTGAAGCATTGTGACCCCAGCCTCCAAACTCTTCCCTCCTTCCTGATCCGGTAGGGGGACGGGGGAGGAGAGAGAGCAAGAAGGCACTCTGGCAGACTTTAACCAAAGGCAAGGGGAAAGACACCCTAGGGAAGAGAGCAGAGTTGAGGGGGGGGTGCTCATTGCCTGCTGCACCCACCATCTGCTCTCCACCCAGGACTGGACTGCAGCAAGCCAGGACCCCTACCTGCACCGACAGCCCTGTCCCCACTCCAGACTCAGTGCCCACAAAATACCTCCTATGCCCCCTACATCATATACCAGATCACAAGGTTCCCCAAGATCTACCACCCGCCCACCCTGACATCATCCTGCCCAGGAACCTGAGGGCACAGCACATCTGAGGGCTCAGCCAAGACCTCCCTCGCCTAGTCCCCATCTAGTCCCGTCTGTCTTGAAAACTCGTGCATCTTAAAGCAGAGAGAACCCTGGCTAACAGTTTATAAAAGCCCTCATTTTCAGGACACCACAATAAGGAGAGGATCGGGAGTCACTCAGCCATGCTCTGCGCCTGGGGCCACCTCCAAAGCCACTCCTACAGCCTCCTCAGGGGACGAACACTGCAGTGGACAGGGTGCCCTGGAGGCTGCCAGGCCCAGCAGCCCACACCATCTCCTCAGGACGGGCAGCACAGCCACTCTGACCAGCCCAGCCCCACTGCAAAAGGCCCTGGACCCAGGTCTCAGTGAATCACCCCTGGGCTTGACCAGCCTTCCCAAGCTGGACCAAGTGCGCCCTCTTCTGGTCAAGAGGTGTCACAGCTAGTTGGCTGCTCCATGGTCTCCTCCATGGGACCCTTTCTACATCCCCAGTGCACACTCACCTACTCCACAAACACTCGCTACACAACTAAGCAAACACAGTGTCCCAAATCAGTGGTTTCACTCAGATGCTCTCTGTCTGAAAATTATCAAGGGGGCCTCTTCCTCCTCAAGATTGCTGTCAACATCTGCCAAACTGCCCCTCCCTCCACGTACTAGGAAGGGGCTGTCCGCATCCCTCAGGTGGCCCGCCTGTGACCACACTACCCTCCACAGAACTCCACCATGCACCCAGCGTTAGACCGGGTGCTTTAGACACAGCACCTGGGCATTTGTCCCACCTGAGAAGCCCCAGCCACACAACTCATCTGCTGGTTCTACTGCGGTGGAAACAGGCTCAGAGAGGTTAGGTGCCTTGCTCAAGGTCACAAAGCTCTTGAGGATGGAAATGAACCCCGAGCCCAGATCACTCTAACTCCAGACCACATATGGGGCCTGCCAGACACTGCCTGGCCACACACAGACCCCACACAGCCCCCTCCGTGGGCACAGGCTCTCGGGAAGGAGAGCCGAGAAGCCCCGGGACTGTGGGACCGACCCAAGCATGTGACAACGCACAGCAGGAGGCCAGGAGGCCAGAAGCCTCTGCGCAGACCTCAGGGCCTCCTCCTCGCAGGAAGAGCGCCAAAGGCCTGCGTGTAAACCCCTGGGCTCCAAACTGAAGCCAGAACGTGACAACGGCCCCGCATAACTCTACCAGCCTGAAAAGAACACAAGTCGGGTCAGAACTCCAACTGGCCACTTAAAAATGACCCCAGTGGTTCGGCTCACATCAGAGACTGTGCTGTGGGTGGGCTTCCTTTCTCCACCTCAGAGAGTGCCGCCTAGGGGAAAAGCTCAAACAGAACTTGCAAATACAGTGTCCTGGGCAGGCTGGCTCCAGAACTCTGAGAAAAACAGAGGGAAGAACAGACATTTATTGAGCACCAATGGGGGACCTAGCTCTGTGCCAGGGGCTTGGTGAGCGTTTTTCCCACATGATCACAGACACGGGTACGATGATGCCCTTTCCAGATGCGACGCCAGATGGAGGGCACAGGTCAGGCCAGTGGACCAGCTGCTCTCCAGCAAAGCTGGATGCGAAGCCGTGTCACCCCACACCAAGCCATTTTCTTTCCAGGAGCTTCAGTCCCAATCTCTTTTGGCCC